ATTTTGCCGAAAATTTATGGGGCTTTACGCATTGGCGACGGCGAGTACCGCAGACGATTAGCTGTACGAGCTTTACAATGACATGGACATAGTTCAGCGAATTAAAATACAGCGGCTTCGCTGGCTTGACTATGTTGTTCGAATGGAACTGACGCTACAACTCTTGAAAGTATTAAACTCGGAACCCGCTGCAGGTAGCAGAGGAAGAGGGAGGCCCCCACTGCGATGGAAAGACTAAGTGACGAAGGACATGACATTTCCAATTAGCGTCAGCTGGCACAGAAGAGAAACAACTTGTGGGCTTTGTTGGACTGACCCAAAATCGCTTAGGCGGTTACAGCGCCAAGTAAGAAGTTGGAAAAGCACGAAAATTTTAGCAACTTTAAATTTCAACTGTAATTCAATTTTGTTTTAATTTTTAACACTTGATCGTTCGTTTTGTTTTATTGTATTTTGTACCTTTATGTGTTATACTAAAAATAAGGCAATTATTACTGTACTAATATCACTCTTTTGATAATAAATAAAATCAAAATTCTGCAAAATCCGCAATTATTAACAAACAAGAGCCAATCTGAAAAAAAACTAAAGGGCATATATGTAAGTATTTTATAAATTACATCTTTTCTGCATGCCATAAAGTATATGTATATTCCGATGACATCCAACTGTACCTGTCTGAAAATCATGAGCAAACAGGTGACCTCTGTACAAGGCTTAATAGTGACTTAACATTCAACTTTGCATGGGCGAGGAGAAATGACCTGTGTCTAAACCGTTAAAAAATTTTTGTGCTACTTGTCTCCAAAAAAAAAAAGGGATATATTTTTCAAATATATAAAGGCCTAGTTTCCGCTCCGCGTTATGGTCGGGCTGTTGGGCGTAGTCGGAAAGACCGAGTTTCCGATCCATACTCACAGCGTCTTTCGTATGCTAGATCATTTGCTGCTTGGTCGGAAATGACAAACTCATTTTCCCTAAGTCAGCTCGAATTAATGATTTGATAGTGCTAAATTATAATTCTCTAACCTCCGCACGGCTATCTTTGTTAATATGTATAACCACTGTCTGTCTGTAGGTATTTTATTATAAGTTTTAGTTTTACTTTATTATAAGTTTTAAGAGCGTGTCAGACTTGGCAATATTTCCAACTTTTCTATGAAATTCGCTGCCCAATTGAGAAAGAGAAAGTTTCTTTTCACCTGTGAACAGCCAGAAAGACCTTTCTGTCACTTTTCGGAAATCAGCTTCAGGTTAGTTTGCAACTAAAAGCGCATAAATGATTTCGGAAATAAAAATCCTCTTTCGAAAGACACTTTACATGCAAGGTGTGACTGCACAAGCAACTGCTTTCTGAAATTTCACAATTTGATAACCTTTTTGAAATATATTGCATTGCCACGTTTGACACGCTCTTTAGCCTTAGTAACCATCATTATGACCTTGTCTTATCTTTCTGGTTTTACCTTTCATTTGTTTTACTATAACAGATCGCAGATCTTATTGTACTAATGATTTCGCAATAAATAAATGAAAATAATTGACTGATCTAAATATATCCTAGAAATACTCGTATGAATGCCGTTCTTGTTTTTTTTTTTCAAAGTAGCTAACATCCAAGTACCACATTTTCCGTTCGTCGTGGTAATAAATAAATATCTATTGTGACCTAAACTGTAAGGAGATTCTGTAGCCATTTAGCGACAACTTTCGCATCGCTAAATTTTCGCTAAATGGTAACACAATTTCCGTACAGGTATGAATGATGCAAGAGATGTGATAGAAGGGTGCATTCTAAAATGTCAAAATATCAAGATCAGTCTCTTTTATTTCTAAACCGCACCAGAAGAAAAAGTCCTCCAAGCGAACTAGGTTGTGCACATTTGACATTACAATCTACTGAGGTTTAGAAATAAAAGACATTGATGCTTTGTATTTTGATATTTTGGAATGCACCCTTTGTTCAGCGTTCTAAGATTTTTTATTTGATCAGAATGTGCAACAACTCAGGATGAAGTCATCGTGGAAGTAGGCTCTAAAGCAGGGATCACACGATTTGTACAGAGTGGTGTTGTCTAGAAACTTATGCCGTGAATGAGTTCAGCTCAATAACAACTTTCTAAATAACACCTCTCTGTAACTGTGAAAATGTACAAATCTGTACAAATGTACAAATCGTGTGATCCCTGCTTAAGTGGAAAAAATTAGGCATAAACAAAAGATATTGGTATATGTATTTTCATAATTACATACGATATGTGCATGTGATGACCATGTGATGATGATCGGATCGGATATCCGGTAGACTGCTGCCCTTAATAAATTTCACAGTATTTTTATATTAGGTATTTTGTTTAGCTAGATTATTTGCGTTTTCGAGCTGATCTATCCAATACGTAATTAGGAATACAAAATGTCTCCTCTTAAATCCAAGTTATCATATAATCCTGTATTAAAAAATTAAATAAATAAATAGAGAAGAAACGGCACCCGGCACATCCTTATTTTTTATTCATTTTATTTCAAGTATTGAACGGAGTTTAAAATTTGATATTTTCAGTGGTGTTAACGTACCGATTTATTTGTCACTTTTTCTATGTATGTATATAAATTTATTTATTTAATCTTTGTTCTCCATTTGAGTTAATTATTCTATATCTCTTCAATAATACCAATGCCTTCCCGTAGAGACAAACCTTGTCTTTTAAACTTTTGAGTCCAAGCAGAAATTAAATTGAAGTTACGAGTTAATGTTATTTGAATAAATAGCTTGAAGAAGTTTGTTTTTAGTTATATTTTCATCGGTGTGGAGTGGAAATATGAGAAGCTGATAACAATAAACGAGATAGCAACAAATTCATGATGTTGGAAAAAATTTACACATAAGGTACTCATTCTTGTTTCATTCAAGGAAGCAACTTCTGGCTACAGTAATTTAATGTACAGTTGTCCACGAAATATAATAGCAGTGCGATATTTTGATCAGTTTAGACTTTTTAACTTTTGTTTATTAAAAGTTTATTTTTTTTTTTTATAAAAATCCAGCTGTGATATACATACATATGTATGTACGGTTAAAACAACCATGATTCAATAATCAAAGGTTTGCTCACTACCCAGTAGATAATTTCAGGATTTAAAAGCCCTTCCGAAAGGCCTTCCTGAGAGTCAACGAGGCCTTCCACCCTACATTCCTTTCTCCTTTCTTTTTTGTATGGAGTGGCACAAATTGAAGGGCTTCTTCTTTCGCTACCCATGCAAGTCCTTCCAGAAGGGCTTTTATTGTACGTACTTCAGAAGGCCTTTTGGAGGAGTTCTTTTAAAGTTGCTTTTTTTAAATTATAAAAATCATACATCTTTGAAATATTTGCTTACGGTTTATATCAAATATGTGTTATTACAATTTAATTAAGAAGGCCTACCTACATTATCTTCTGGGTGGTAACATTAGAGTTGTGACACTCCCTTATGCACACACACGCACCTACACACGATAAGCCAAGGCGAATTTATATAAGGTGGTGTTACTAGCTCAGCTGATTTTGTGTGTGTGTTTCGCCGCACGGCTTCTGATATCAAATTCAAAAATTTTGTTTGAATTTCTACACAAACTCTTACAGATTTTGACAGTTTATGCCGCCAAAGCAAAAACAAAATACATGTAAATTTTTGTTTTTGTACTCCTGCTATCACCTTATATTAATTCGCCTTGCGATAAGCGAGCCGATTTTGTCAAGAGGGAGCGGGAAAACTGTTTTCTGAGCAACCCTTTAATTATTAAATCATGTACAACAACCACCATATAAATTAACCTTTCAAACTTTGTACAAAAAATATAAAAATTCTCAAAATTTCAAAGTTTGTAATCAAAATATATAAATAATTATCTGGTATGTAGTTTTGTAGACCATTAAATTAATGAACTGCAAGTTTCAAGGTGCTAAAAAATCCCGTTGATTTTAGGCATTTTTTTTGCTGGCAATCTCTTCCATATAAAAGAACTTTGTCGAACACGATTTGTATGGGAAACACATTCAACAAAAAAAAGTTCTCAAAATTCAACATTTTTAACAACTTGACACGTGCACTTCATAATACTACAATTTAATAGACTACAAAACTCATACCAAACTTTTTTCTAAAGATTTTGATTAAAAAGATTGAAATTTTTACGGAAACTTTGCAGAGCTTTTATAATTTTTGTACAAAGTTTGAAATGTTAATTTATAAGGTGTTTGTTGTATAACCAGCTAGACTTTTAATAAAAAGGCGAATTATTATTAAAAAAAAATATTTTGTGAGAAAACGCAATCAAAGTCTGAGCAATTCACATAGTTGGTATAAAAAAAAATGTATGTAAGGGCATGTATCGTTACGTTTCATTATACAATTAATAAGCTTGATAAGGAGAATATGTTCAGTCTAACAGATAACTAAACTCCAAAAAATGACGAAGATATATGCCGTCATTTTTTGGAGTTCAGTTATCTGTTAAGACTGAACGTATTCTCCTTATCAAGCTTATTAATTGCATAATGAAACCTTAATTTTGAATACTCTATATTGTTAAACCTGGGATATACTATGGGATTTTCGTAGATTCCAATTTCTTTTAAAAATTTTATAATAATGTTAATCTTATAGATAGAATATCAAAATGGTGTTCTTTTTCAAACGTTTTAATGGATATATCTACATACCGCACTTTCCTTGAAAGGGACACGACTAAAAAAAAGAAAAATGTTTGGTAGATTTTTTTTTGCATTTCGTAGGATTTATCTCCAATTAATGAAAATATTTTTTTTTCTTCATGAAAATATTCTCTAACTAGAAAACTGCTGTTATACATGTTTTTGCGTTGAATCTGTACGATCTACAATCAGATATATTTTGATTTCTGATTTTTGAGTTGTGCCACTTTTGAAGATGGTGTACGATATGTTTAATAAATTGTTTCATTATAATGATGCAGTTAAGTATGTGCATTATATCCTACTTACATTGGGACCATCAAAAGGGAGATGTTCACACGATTTATGTTGTCTTATAAAAGACTGGCTGGTTTTTGCTAATTTTCGTCCTCCTCCTCGTCGGCGTCAAACGATAATTTACTTGTTTGGGGTTTTTTCTTCTTTTGACTTTGTTTTACCTCCTGCTTGTTTATTTTCTTGGATCCTTCCGGATCGTTGCTTGATTTAGAGCTTTTGGAGCTGCTGATTTCAGATGTTGAGCTGCTACTTGCAGATGTCGTAGACTGATTCTGGTTATCTTTTCGCTTCTGGAATATTATTGGTCTACTTAAATCGGCTCGTGCTTCCGCTGCTTCTGTTAACAGAAATAAAAACATGCATATAGTTAGATAAATGGAACAGCATAAAATAGCATCTAATGAATATAATTGGTTGTGAAATGCTCGATGTCATCTTTTACTAGGAATTGTCATCTAATGCATGAAAATCTTCCTTCTCTAGTGGTCCTGTTAAAAATAAACCAACATGTCGCCTTTCTGAACAGATTGCTTGAAGGACATGGATTCAACACGCTTTTATTTTGATCACGGATCAATTTGTACCTTTCCGAACTAGCTTATACTCCTAGTAACCCATTTCATAAAGTTCAATGTTTACGAAATTTTTGAAATTATATCTCTCTAGTTACGTCTTTCATTTCATGGTTCTATTTTCCCTTTCCCGGCTTGCGTACAAGTTTTACATACGGTCATGCAAATTAACGTCTAAAGTGTATGTCTGTACCGATTGGATTTATAGTGCCAGCCTTCAGGCTGCCAACCCGCTACCTCAAACGCTCTTCATTCCTCGCGCCTATGCCTTTACCCCACCGCGTACCGCATACTATATTCAACGCTCCAAATTTTATACATTACTGGCTTGGACGAACCACTTGCCATTCTCTTTTCCTGTTTCATTTACTCTGTTTTCCACTTCTTCACTCATTTACTTTTCTTTTTGCACTGTTCTTTTTCCCTTCTAGCGTGTCACTACCCCGCATCAACAATGCCAACTGCTACTACTGCAGCTATTGCCTGCTTCATCAAATTCTCTTTACCGACATTTTCATCGGCCTGTCTGCTTTAGCGGAGCCCCAGTATGCTGTCTAAACGTGTGTTTGTGTGATCGCATCGAGGGTGCTCCGCTGGCACGAAAATTGCAAAGGTGGTAGTGGAGGTTTCTTAAATTGGTGTACAGCATTGCTCGTAGCCTTGATGATGATGCAGACGAGCATCGATGAAAACGACGGACTATCGAGGCGTGGCTGTTTGAAAATATAAGGTAGGCGGTGGTATGAGATGCAACAAAAATGGGTCTCCTCTGGGCCAAATTTTTAGGTTAGGTATATTTTACTGAGGACATTGTGTATTTTCAACTCCAATAGGGTAAAGAACTATACATACATATATGAAATAGTTTTGTACAGCTTAAAAAAATTTTTTATACTAAATGAGTTAGCTGTTTTCACATCCTATAACTATAGAAACACTCATATCCTTATTGCAAATTTGTTTAAAAAAGAACTTTGATTAAAACCCGAATTGTGGAAATTGCACTTTTTCACATACCTTTCGATTTTTCCACTTTTTGTTAAATTAAATTTTGCAGTTGGCGAAAATGAGGCAAAAGCGTGGACGAAACGACAAAAGCAAAGAAAACGACGCAACGCTCGACTCTGACTCAACTGAACTGAACTAAAATGACAACTAAAATTCACGGCCTAGAGCCAGAGTCAGGCAACACCAAGGTGTATCCATTGGGCAACGCTCTACAGAAGAAAAAACAGGAAAGGGAAAATACCAAAACAACCTCAATAAATGACAACCATAGAAGATTAGGTTTTCGTAGTGGGGGTTGGGGTTAAGTATTGTACATAATATACATATGTGCGTATGTACATAAGTCTATGCATATTTCGGGTTTTCATAGTGGCAAATACATTAATGTACATATGTACATAAAAACTTACGCCATCACTTTATGTCCCGACGACTTTCTAGGCACTTAAAAAGTTTTATCTTTACATTCCCAATTAACAAACATACCTCTAAAAATTCGTGCCTCCTCTTTAAGGACTTCCTCCGGGGTCAAGTCACCACTCTGTAACACCACTATTTGGGGCTTCTCTTCCTCACGGTCGGGGCAGACTTCACTGTCCGAGCTGTTATCGTCGAAATCAAGCCTTTGCCGCTGAAGGTTTTTTTTATTAGATATTTTAAGACGCCTAATCTATACCGACACACCTTACCTTTGTTTCAACAGTTGGACCTTCTTTATATCCGATTTGTGCTTTTAACTTGGCTAAAAAACTTGGATCTTGGGGTTTCACGTACGATATATTACGCTTCCCAGACATAATTCACAGAAGCTCCCTCTATCAATAATCTCTGTTCTTTCATGCAAGTTTACAAGATAGTATTGTTAACTAAACGAATTTTGCTTACTTACTAGTGAATAAATAACTAATCAAAACAAATAGGCTAAAATGTTCACAAATTGTAAAACACGCGGACACTTTATTTTAGAGGTGGGTAACTCAGCACTGTGCTGAGTTACTGTGCTGACTCTT